TTGTTCTTCCTTCAAAAATCTCATGCCTGGAACATCTCTCAGAGATCACATCACATTCTCTCCCATCCTTTGTACAATGGGCAAGCTTGACAATGGTTAACGACACATTTGAAGAAACAAAACATAGAAACAAAAGCTCAAAAGACAAAACCTCTGGTCCCAGTGACTGATCCAGATTGGATCCTGAAATATTATCTTGGGACATAGATACTGTGCTTCATTCGTGAAACAAAACATAGCTGGTAATATTTGACAGAGAGATCCATTCTTATTTCCTTCAAGAGAAGACTGTCTTTTCAGTTGGTATGAATTTACTTACTGGGTTGGATGGGGGAGAAGTCTAATCAAAACCAATGAAAACTATGTTTGTCATCTGTCTTATTGCTACACTTGATCCATTACTGATCAGGATAATACTGAGTTTTCATATTATTATTATTCTTTTACAGACATTGCCCTGGCTTGATTGCAATACACGTCTTCCTTCTTCAGGCAAGATATCCAACATTCTTTGAAAAATAATTATTTTGCCACAGACCTCCGAGCTTCTAAAATATGCTTTATTGCTGTGGTGACTGATAGCGAGGATTTCCTCTATTATTTCCAATTCCTCTGAGTTTTCCAGGGCTTTCTTAGACAGCTCAATGTATGTTCATTATAAAGAATACCAGCCTCTGAATTAATACTTCCTCCTCTGTTGAATAAAGTTTGTTGGCTGGGAATAATCAGATCCATTTGTTAAACTCTGTGTTTCTAAGAAGTCACTTATTTCTTCAAGTCTATAATTGAGAGAGATATCTTTTTGTTTGTGTGTGGGGGAGGGGAGTAATCTTTCATATATTTATCAATTTCATTCACCTTTGATAGTTATTTACATTCATCTAAATATCTGGAAAGGTATTCTGAACATTTTCTGAGGGGTTTCCCCCCGTTAATTCCTTTCTTATTTATTTCATTACATTTACCGTATTTTCCGGCGTATAAGATGACTGGGCATATAAGACGACCCCCAACTTTTGAGAAGATTTTCATGGTTTAGAAAGTTGTCTTATATACTGGAAAATACGGTACATCCAATTTTATTTCCAAAGAATGTAAGGCAAAACCATTGCCTCTTCCTTCCATTTTATCTTCATAGCAAACCTATGATATAAGTTAGACCAGTGTTTCTCAGTTTTGGCAACCTTGAGATGTGTAGACCTGAACTTGGAGAATTCCCTAGTCATCCTTGCTGAGAAAGTTGCCAAGGTTGAGAAACACAGAATTAATCTGTACAATGGTAACTAGATAAGCTTCCTGGTTGAATTTCTCACCATGCCAAGTCTTCTAAGAACAAAATCTTCTTTAGCTGGATCCAGAAGTAACATGAGAAAAAAGTCCTTCTAAATCAGCTTTTTCTGTTTTTTCATTTTTGTCAATACTATTTTATTACTATAACAATCTCAACTGTACAGTTGTGCTTCACTTGGCTTTTCAAGATAATTCCACATATCATTACATCTGTTCACAACTGTTTATTGATCTATTTATTGTACCTTGTTGATCAATTTTGAGCCACGTTATTAGTCTCTTACTTCTGTGTATTTTAAGAGAAGACGATAAGTTACTAAAATTGTTTAAACTTGTTGTGCTGAAAGGGGAAGTCATTTCTTTATACATTTCATTTTTTAATCTTTGTTGGCTGCCAGAGTCACTGAGAGTGAGTTGATGTGGTCGTATACATTTTCTTAAATAAATAAGTAAAAATATTTTTCTTTACTATATTCTAATTTTTCTTTTCTATTTTTATTTCTATTTTTTATCTATTTGCCATTTAAATCCCTTTCTGTCAAAGGGAATTTTGGCAAAGGCTCTATGAAAGTCCAGATGTTCAATATCTTTTGAACTCTTGACATCCTAAAAAAATACACTCATTTTATCTATGAGTATGTGTGCTTGTGTGTTTGTGTGTGACACCCTAAAAATACACTTATTTTATCTATGAGTATGTGTGTTTGTGTGTGCATGCACATGTACACATAGACACACTAAGCTAGGTGACTTATTATTTTGTTTCTGTCCTCAATCCCTCTTCAAAATGTAGAGTTACATTGATTTTTCAGATTTCCCAACAGATGCAGATCTAAAACAGAAGTTCTGTAGTTTTCTTTTAAAATCAGCATTTATATTTAAGTGCTTGGAAATCCTTTGGGGGTTTCCTAGAGAGAGACCACTCTGGAGTCATGCATCTTGTTGAACTGCAGTTTCCACTTATTTAGCATTGTAGATGGAAGTAGGAATCTCTCTGGGGAAAGAATCCTTTGCTATTTAATCAGGGCTTTGCTATTTTAATCAGCCTTGAAGGAAAGTTCCCAATACTTTGTTTCTTTGTTTTAAGCCCATTCTAAATTTTAATGTCCTGATTTTGGGGAAGACTAGGGTGGAAGGAAGCCTGGGGGGCGGGGGGGGGCGGGAGGGTTTGATTTCCTTCCCACAATATCATTTAAGTATTGTGGGAAGGAAATCAAATATTTAGGTTTAATTCATATATTTTTTTATTTATCAAGTCAATTCTGTTTTTTTTTTTCCTTTGCTTGATTCATGTCCCATGATATCCGATGGCAATGGTTATTCCTGGTTTGAGGCAAGATTGCTTACTTAGAGCTACGACATCTGGGCTAAAGAATGTAGACATTCATGAAATGCAGAAAGTTTTACAGAAGGTGCTATGCTTTTATGGCCATCTACTGGTTATATGTATTTCTGCACCACCAGGTAGATGTGTGAATAGCGTCTAGAACTTTTGTTATGCAAGATGGTATGTTGTACTAATGAGAAAACCTCTGCCCCCTTCCAGATCTAAACTGATCAAAGAGAAAAGCCATCTGGAATTAAGGAGAAAGTTCCTAACAGTGTGAACAATTAACCAGTGGAACAGCTTGCCTCCAGAAATCATGGGCACTCCATCACTGGAGGTTTTAAGGAGAGACTAGACAGTCACTTGTTGGAGATGGTATAGGTTCTCCTGCTTGAATGGGGGGCTGGACTAGAAGACCTCCAAGGTCCCTTCCAGCTCTATTCTATTCTATTCTATTCTATTCTATTCTATTCTATTCTATTCTATTCTATTCTATTCTGTTGAATAAATGATCATTATGATTAGGCATGCATAACTAGATGACAAGGAAGAATTGAATTTTTCTGTACCTCTTTGCTGCCATTTAGTGACCTTCCTGATTTTGCAGTCCAGGTATCATATGCTTACATGTGATAGGTCACCGTGAGTTGAGTTGCATTTTTAGCTGGCAAGTTCTGGGAACTTCCACGCTTCCCTTCAGCCTTGGAAAAAGGAAAAGGAAAATGCTTAAGCGTTTACTTCCTTCTCAAAGCTCAGAAATACAGAACTTAAGAAATCTTGCCCAGGTCCTGAAATACAAGAAGGAGCAGAGCAACCTTGCACTCTTGGGAAAGTCCCTTATTGGAGTCAAATCTCAGAAGTAAAAATTATCTGAAAAAAATGTAAATAAAGGAGAACAGAAAACTCAACAATAGTACAGACATCCAAACAGTTCATAGCTAAATTAGATATTTATTGCCTGCTTTCAGGACATGTTCAAAATAGTTTGCATCTTTTATTTTCTTTGCACTAATCTCAGTTTTATAGAAAGTGGAGGATAAACAGTGTGGTAAGAATGCACCCCCCAATCCTTTTTAATATGCCCCCCAATCACAAAAATAAAACTTAGGAAAAGAAATACAGAAACAATGTTTCAGTTATGAAGCTCCTGGCTATTGAGAAAAGCAGAAACATTGAAACAAGCCTGTAGATTTACAAAGAGAGCTTGCTAAAGGTAATAGTCGGTAGATAAGGGGATAAAATTAATTACATTTGTTTAAAAGGATTAGGACCAAGGAAGCTGATAATTAAGACCCATCAAAAGCTTTTGCAAAACAAGTAAAACCAATCAAATAACAAAACACACAAAGCAAGTCTCTAGATTACGAAATGCTATGAAAACTGTATAAAAATCCATGTACTCATCAAACCAAACCAGCTGTCCCAGAACTGCATTCTGTTGCTGGTTCTGCTCATCAATAAACAGGAACCTTCTTGCAAAAGCAGCCTCCATTTTATTCCCAGTTTGGAACTGGACTTGATTTTTCTTTCAATACTAGAAACAGTCTCTTTAGGGAGACCAGCTGTTGCTTTCTCCTGCCAAGCAAAGTGCTCCATTTTTGATTCCTGAATCTAGCTAGCAAATCAGAAATTATCCAGTGGGATAAGCCCTCCTAAGTTTTTTACCAAAGGTTTTTGTGTGTGTGGGGCGGGGGGGAGAAACAAAAGCTGAATTTTGTCTATTCAGCCCTTCCAGAATGAAATTATGCTGGGTAGAGAATACTAGAAATTGAAGTCCAAACATTGGAGGGTTCCCAAATTACAGAAGAAAATATTAGTGTATTTATTTTGATTGATGGACAGCTGAAATTTAGATAGATTCAGTTGGAGTTCCTATATACTGCATATATGTTTCATCTGGGCAAGGCCTGTTTCAGAAGATCTGTTTTTCATTGAAAGATCATTATGTGGAAGGTTCAAAGAGACCAGGAATGTGTAAATTCATCTCTGCTCTGTTACTCCCTCATACAAAAAATAGCAACATAGCCACCAGTCATATTGGTAATAAAATTCCTCCCCTGGGGAATTCAGAAGGGGATTTGTGCTTAAAGGCACATGCCTTCTGAAAAGATAAGCACATATCTTCTGCAACCTAGCAACACCCAAAAGGTTACCTAGGTAGAGTGATGACTATAAATCATCTTTGGAAATGGGGGTGGGGATGGCAGGGAAAGAGAATTATTTTCATTCAAATTGTAGGAGTCAGTGATCCTTTGGTTAATCACCTGCTCTTGTTTATCAAATGCGAGTACTTTCTGCTGTTTACAAAAGTTAATCTAATCAAGTGCTGTAGCAGACTTTCACCTTGGTTCTCCTTTTTCCAGGACTTTATAACTTACCCTTCAGCCTACAGGATCATTGTCCATTTCTAGACTAGCATGCTGTTTCCGAAGCATGCTGTAAAACTGATCTGGAATTCATTCTGTTCCTTGTGATTCCTGCTTAGCACAATCGCTATTTTTTTTTTCTAGAGCTTCCCTTGTGTTTTAAGATCCAGAGTTCTTGTTTCTTTGCCAGTTTTGGTTGCTTTGCTACTGCAAGGTATAAAGTATTTTCTTCTGCTTTTTCCTGAAGAAGGGAACATTTTAGTCTCAAAGCCAGATTTAATGGATCTAGGTCTAAGGTGTAAAGTATCTAAGGGGAAGGAAATATTACTACCTAAGAGTTAAGACTGAATCTCAAGTTAAATATAAGTTCTGGATAATTACAGCTCTATTTTTAACAAAGTGTTTGGCCTTGCATAAGATTCAGTTCTAAATTCAAGTTTCTACTTGCACACAATAACTTTGCTCAACAGCTACTGGGAAATTTAAGTTCTTTTGCCATCCATCCTCTCAAGGACAGGTAAGTATATTTTATTCTTGTTCTCTTTCTTTGAAAATGTTTAGTTTTGCCCATTTGTACCCTTTCGTTTTGCATTTGCACTTTCTTGGTATCGAATGAAGTATCAAATTCTGTTTTCTTAGGGCCATCTTTCCAGCCAAATTTGGCATCTGTCATTCTCTCCAATCTTTTTTTCTTGGGTTATTTAGAATTAGCATGCCTACCCATGTGCTGTCTACGGGCCTACTAAAGAAACCTTATTTCCCTCTATTTCTTGAGTTGTTGCTTCTCCATTTCATGTAATCCTGAGTGTATGAGAATCAAGCTAATGTTGTTACGCTGTATATAGGTATGGTTGTATGTGGGAAATAAGCCGGTTTCCCTTTAAATAAATTTAGGTATGAAGTGGGTGATCTTGCCATTGTTGGCAACATTCAGAGTTTGTGCTCATGTCTCTGAAGGTTTGCTGGTGAAGACAAGTACCTAGAAAGCCTTTGTACCATTGGAAAAAAAAACCCAAGAAAAGAATCTAATAAATGGATACTGACTTCCTCATGTTGTGCGGATGTGTGGAACTATTATCCCATCACTCAGAATGGAAATATTGGAAATTTTCATTTAATGCATCCAGAAGGAACTAAGTAACTATGGGGGAGTGGACAGCCCCTCCTTTCTTCATTTTCCAAACTAATACAGGGGCTCGGACAGAGAAGCTATAATTATGTAGAGAGAAAGGACAATGAAAATATTTCTTCAGAGATGCCTGCAGCTGAGTTTTAGAGTTACCAACTCTGGGCAACAAAATCCAGGATAATCGTGAAGCAAGAGCAAAGAAGTCTATAGCAGGGCTTTTCAACCAGTGGTACAGGTACCACCTGTGGTACATTGGCACATGGCAGGTGGTATGCGACCATCCTAGAAAAGTGGTAGTGGGGGAGGGGAATGAGCTGAACCGGTGGCAGCACTGCACAAGCCTGAGCGAGAGATGGCTGGAGCTGCAGGGCTCAGCAGAAGCGCCAGGATCAGTGCTGCTTTCCAGCTGATCAGCGCTTCTTCGGGGCTGTCAGGGCTCAGTGGAAGTGCCAGGATCAGTGCCAGGCTCCAGCTGGAGCTCGGCGCTGATCCTGGTGCTTCTGCTGAGCCCTGAAGAAGCACCAATCAGCTGGAAAGAGGCACTGATCCTGACGCTTCTGCTGAGCCCAGAAGAAGCGCCGATCAGCTGGAATGTTGCAGCATCTCCAGGGTCTGGTGATTTACACTCAGATGCTTGGCAACTGATTCATATTTATGACAGTTACAGTGTCCCAGGGTCATGTGGGGGGGAATAAAAATCAAACACCCCCACACCCCACCTCCGCTGCCAATCCTCAACAGAAATGCCTCACAACAATGAAAACCTTGGACAGGAGGAAGAGCGCCGCAGGCAGGAGTCTTGCTCGGCTGTGCCTTGGGGGGGCACTTTTTTCAATGCTATTGTAACTTCGAACAGTCATTAAGCAAACTGTTGTAAGTCAAGGACTACCTGTACTTCATCACTTTTTTCCTTTTTTTTTTTTTTGGTCATCAAGTTTTTGACACCTTGCTAGGCGACTGGTGGTACTTGGATGTTGCCATATCCTAAAAGTGGTACAATGGGTGAAAAGGCTGAAAAGCCCTGGTCTATAGCATTTAATAGCTAACTAATGGTGGTCTAGAGTTTTACAGCCTCACTATTCTATCCTATCTTGGCATTCTTTTGAAGGAAAAATACAAACTCAAAATCAAAAGAATCCTATTAGTTTCCTTAAATATTGAACCAGGGTTGGGAATCTTTTTAATTTCACAATAGGTAACAACATGTCACCCATAGCATATACCCTTTTAACTTGTTTTTTTTTAAAAAAAATATTGTGTCCTCCATAATAATTGTTCAATACAGTAGTCCTTGATTTACAACAATTCATTTAGTGACCATTCAAAGTTACATCACTTTAAAAAATGACTTATGATCAGTTTTTACATTTACAACTATTGTGGCATCCCCATGATCACGTGATAAAAATTCAGACGCTTGGCAACTGACTCATATTTATGACAGTTGTAGTGTCCCGCGGATTATGTGATCACCTTTGGTGACCTTCTGACAGGCAAAGTCAATGGAGAAGCCGGATTGACTTTACAACCGTGTTGCTAACTTAACAACTGCAGTGATTCACTTAACAACCGTGGCAAGAAAGGTTGTAAAATGGAGAAAACCTCACTTAACAAATGTCTCGCTTAGCAACAGACATGTTGGACTCGATTGTGGTCGTAAATCGAGGACTACCTGTAATTACAGTTCCAAAGAGACATTGCCAATCTGATTGTTTTGCAAAAGAAACCCGAGGAACGTGGAACTTGTCTTCTATTACTGGATGCTTGTTCTATGGTCAAAGCCAGATTTTTTTTTCTTGCCCTCTTAGTATTCCAATCTGTTGTATCTTGAGTGTCATTTCAGAATCAGATTTCTCTTTTCAAAAAAATAAAATAAAGCCTCCTCTCTTGTTTTGTACAAATGTGATCGAAACTAGAAACGGACAGGCCATGTTCAGCTTCTTAACAAATACATTCCACTGCACCCAAAGAAAAAGTATGAAAACAGTGTCCAAAGCCTGAAGTAAATTAATTACGTATATTGTTTTTCGATACCACCAGTTGTTTTTATTTTGAAAATGTTCATTAAGAAATAACATTCATAATCTGTTACATAGGTATCAGCTCTATTCATAAATAGGTACTGAAAATGAGCATCGGAAGGAACACAATATGCAAATATTATGCTTGAATTAAAATGAGCTGTGTTGCCACTTGATACTTGAAGAGTGAGGCAACTTATTCCACAAACATCTGAGTCCATTTTTTGTTCATAACAATGAGAACTATTGAGCTAATGCATGCTGTCACATGCTTGATTCATTCTGAAACTGTAATTCACATTCACATTCCTGCTTTTCCATGGGCTTCTAAGTCCTGGTGGGAAAACCCATTTGATTGGATCTCTTGAAGTATCAAGGCTGTAATAAAGTAATTCTGACTTACAATGACAGTTGGATATGTAAAAGATTTGACTTTAAATACAGCTTGATTTAAGTGTGATTACCGCACTTTATCCACAGAATAACTCTGAAAAGTGGGATGTACAATGAGACTGAAACAGGTTTTAGACTCAATAGTAATATGAAGCTACTTTATTCACCCAGCAATTTTGGTACATTGAATATTTATTGGTAGCAATTGTTCTAAACACGAGCAAGTTTTCAGATTTTGCTCAATACATTCCTATCTGTTTTCTGTTCCATTGGTTTCACCCAGCCTGCTATTTACTCTTTTAAAATGGATCCTTTGTTAACTCAGGCATTACACCTCTTGATAACATATTCAGTATTTGGAAATGCAGCCCTTCCTTCTGTATAGAATCTCAGATCTGAATGTTAGAGAGGGATGCAATGCTGGTTCTTAATCCGCCCTGTAAACCTTTATTTTGATTTCCGTATTATTTAAGGATTAAAAATAATACTTAACATAAAATACTTTTCCTAGAAATGCTTGGACTGGACCAGTTCCAATTTGGAAATCATCCAGACTATTTGGATTTTTTTTCTGGACGCTCATCGAATTGTTGAAATCATACAAGTATGAGAGTCCTGGATTACATCCCATTTGGAAACTGTTCATAGGTTTGACTTAAGAGTGTACAACTGTCTCTTCCTTCACTCCCCCCACACAAGTCTTAATCTGAGAAGCCAAAAAGCAAATAGTAATCTTGAAGGGTTAGATAATTAAATACATAGGAAGTAATCATATCAACCATATTTAATTTTAATTATATTTAATCAGACTCAGCTTTTATCCTGCAGTTTTTTTTATCATGGCTTATCTTATTTATTTGTTGATTTTGGAATTCAATCTTACCACATTGCTCAAAAGCTAAGGGCAGCCCTTCTTGGTCTGAAAGAGGCTGTTTGTATCTTAATCAAACCATCTTGCTATGCAAAGGAGGATGCTCTAAGCCAGTGGTGGGGAACCTATGGCACGGGTGCCAGAGGCGGCACTCGGAGCCCTCTCTGTGGGCACACGTGCCGTTGCCCCAGCCTTGCCTCCCCCCATGACCCCCTCCTCTCCAGCAGCCCCCCTGAAGGAGAGTCACCCTCGAGCGTGGTCCCACGGAGCAGCACAGCCAAGGACATGACAGCCAGGCAGCATAGACAAGACTCTGCCCTCACACCCCATCATGCAATTGATGCTGCAGGGCGTGGGCAGAGGGTGTGGCTGCCATAGCCTTGCTGGGCTGCCTGGGCGATCTGTGGTGGGCCCTGGAGGCGGTGAGGGCAGGCAGGGCGGCGGATGGGGGGGCAGAGTGGGGGCGGTGCGGCAGATGGGGGGCAGAGTGGGGGCGGGGCAGGGGGTGGAGCAGGGGTGGGACCAGTTTTTGGGCACTCGGTCTCTAAAAGGTTTGCCATCACTGATCTAAGCAAAAAATAGGGCCTCACTACCCCAGTTCAGGACTGTCTGTGCTGCAGAACAGAAGAGCTCTCAATCAGAAACAAACCAGGATGGGGAGGGGTCACAGATCAGCCAAGTATCCATAGTCAATTATAAGCCAGGTCAGGTCAGTTATAAGCCTGTGATTTGGGTTTAACCGCAAAGGCAAATCATAAAACAAAAATGGAATTCAAGGCAATCTGTTAAAAAACACCAGATAGAGAGAGATCAGACTAGTCAAGAAGCAAGCACTGAACTCAATGGACAAATAATATTCTACCAGTAGCTGCTAAAAGTTGAGAACTGTTGAAGCCATTCTTGAGCCTTCATTATTGGGCACCAGATCATCTACCCAGAGTTCCTTTTCACTGATAAGACCCTCCTTTTGTGTAAGGATTTGCTCACAGAGAGACCTCTTTGTTAATTGCGTGTTAGGTCCCCAACTTTTGAGCACCAGGGACCGGCTCCGTGGAGAGAGATTTTCCACAGACCGGCCTGCCTCCCACAGATGGGGCTTTGCT